ATTATTATCATAATGCAATTATATTTCTTCGCGTGCGTGAGGAAAATTAATTCGTCATTAAGAAAGCGTGCAAAGTTAATTTAATAAAGAGTGATTAGCGTGTCATTTTGATCGTGAGTAAAATAATTGTTTTCCTTTTCACAAACGCTTTAATATACATTCTGAACGTACTAAAATGTTTAGAAAAAAATATATATTAAAAAAGATTGAAGCATTTGATTTTCGAGTAGAATTCTCATATTATATTTATGGCCTTTAATAAGTTAAACTATAAGAATTATATTCTCACAAATAACATATTTTACAAAAAAAATGGAGGATGTTGCAGCCGATCAAAAATTCTTCTAATTGCCAATCGTTAAAATAATAATAAACAAAATCTCTATTTAGTCATAACTTATTAATATTAAGTTAATTACACACATATAATAATGCGTTCCACTATATTCTACACATATTAAAAACTCGATGTAAATCTTTTATGTCGCATTAAATACGTATATCGAAGAAAAAAAATCGATATGCGATTCAATATACAACGTAACATGTTTTATGCTATTAAGGAGCTTCTGCTGCGATAAATACATTCATGTTTGTTATTCTTTGTTTATCCAAAGAGATTCGAGAGAAGGGATTTGTATTTAAGAAATTATATAAAAACATATATATATACTATATGCCCAGTAAACACACTTATTTATTGCAATATAACATCTCGTAGAGCAACAAATAAGAATATAAAAGTTGCTTGATTGATATAAAAAAGTTACTTATTAATATGATAAAAAAATTGTAATATCATACATATTATTTTGTATCGTTACAACAGTACTGTAACATTATTGCAAAATTATTATATATGATGTATATTACAATATAAAATATTAATCTACTAACCCTTATGCAATATATCTGTAATATATTCAGTTCTATTATACTTATATATAAAACATTAAATATATATAACAGTGTTTACTAGGTGTATATAGTATAGTTATACTTTTATTATACTCTTATTACTATTATACTTTTTTAAATATATGCTTCTCTCTCTCTCTCACACACACACACACACACACACACACATTTTAGGATATTTGCGTTAAAGGACATTAAGAATCTTTCCCTGGTAGCAAGCATACGTCATTTTGACATCGTGACGTCATTTTGACGTCGAATGACGCTATTTTGACGTCAATGTCATTTTGACGTCGAATGATATCATATTGACGTCGAATGATATCATATTGACGTCGAATGATATCATATTGACGTCGAATGACGACATTTTACGTTTAATGACGTCAGTTTGCTGCTTGGATTAATTCGCTATTTGAAAGCACACTGTGTATTGTGTAGATGTACCCTACTATGTGAATTTGTTGTGTTACAAGCAACATTATTATATTTTTGTGTTACGAATTACGATACGTTTTGTGAACAAATACGATTCTCCTCAATAAGAATCTCTATATTGTAAGCCACATGAGACGCACCAACGCGTAATAAATATATACCATCGTGATAATTTTTAATTGCGAATGCATTAGCAGAAGTTCGCGATACATCTGTGAATACCGACCAAAAGTAAAAAAAAAATAAAAAGAATGTCTTAGAAATGCCCATAATTCTAGATAGAAATTCAAAATTATACCGAGAAATAATATCTAATGAGAATGAATCTAATCTTTTGTAAACGATATGAATATAAAATAATTGTATATTTTGAAAATTATGCTAGAGGCGTCTCGATGCATAGATAGAGAGGACAATATATTATTGTGTCATATTCTATTTTAATTGAAAGTAATGGAAAACACAATGTGAAATTAGTGCATATTTTTAATAAATGGATCACAAAATTACATCGCATTCAGCAATTATTTATTCCTGATAAATTAAAGAAATGTATGGAATAATAATTTTAATGATAAATGTAAACAAAAATAAATGCTTATACAATGTTCGATTTTATTTATAATAAGCTGCAATGTAAAATTAATCCAATTTACAAATTTAATTAATATCATTTAAAGTATAGAAATATTCGCATATCCGAAAATTTTAGTTTTAATTCTGTATATACAAATAATTAGAGTATCTCATTTTAAAAGACCTACAATCCTTAACAGCACATATCTTTTGAACATATATGATGTTTTTATGTTAAATGATTGATATATATTTTTTAAAGTCAAATATTTTATCTGATGCTCTATAACATTTGATTGATTGATTTATTTCGACGATATAAATACAATATAAATAAAATTAAAAACGGTCGAATCGTGAAAAAATTTAATTATTAAAATAATAAAAATAAGCATATATATATATATATATATATATATATATATATATATGTATATATATGGTGTCTCATCCCCAGATTACCCAGATATGTTGTTAATGTAATTGTATTTAAATGCATGCATTTTTAAACATTTAATTATGTTTCTTATATAAAAATTATATAATAAATAAAGATACTTAATATTAAATTTTTTCATAATACTATAATTTCATATTACATTTTTTCATAATACTATAAAAAATAAATTAAATTATTGTATATATTGATAATGTATAATATGTGTAATATAATTAATATGTGTATAAATGTATGTAATAATTTTATAAAGCTATATGTTAGAATATAGATAGCAAGCTGAAGTCATTTTGACGTCGATGACATCATCTTGCTACCTGGGTATAGCTTTATAAAATTAAATTACTACCGTAAAAATATTATTTAATGCTCTCAAAATATTAATAAAATATTTTATAAACGTTAATTTCAACATTACCGAAACCTCTAAAATCGATGTCAAAGTTTGTTCATAATGATGTTGCATACAATGTTAAAAACTATATATATTTGACAACAATAATAACATTGTAGCAATGATTTTTTGCTTACTGGGAACGTATATATAAACGATAAAAATAACAATTCCCCATATTTATTAGATTTCTATTTTGACGCTTAAAAAATAGCTCCTTACCTGATTACGGATGAAGATGATCTGCTGATTGCGAATATCACGATTTAAATGATTAAAAATCAGACTACCCTTTTTTTTCGGTGCTTCGGCTGAATTTTGAATGAACGAACAATTCCAGACCGACCGGCAGAGGTCTCTACCGTCGACTCTAGAACTCTCGAAGGAAGTATGAAGTAAAGCAGAGAGAAGGATGAGAGTGGTCATCCCCTCGATTTAGCTGCAACCGGAATTCAAAGCGCCTCTATGTGCACAAAACGTGCACATTGAACTACGTAGCCATGTGCACGATGCTCCCGAGTGGTAACAGGCTATGTGCACGGTACGTGGTTCGATTCCGTGCTATGTGCACAGATGAGCGCCAGTAACACGTAGCTGTTAAAGGAGATGAGTTCGAGACCTCGCAGGGCCAATTTTTTTTTTTTTTTTTTTAGTACGACTATATTTGTCAATTTAATGAAATCCTTTTAATTATTGTGGAATAAAGAGATAAAATGCATTTCTCAAGCGTACGCGAGAAAATCGAAATCAAAAATAATGAGTGCCGTATAAATACGTATGGAATAGAGCGTTATATCGAAGAGCGTGTGGCGTAGCGTTAAGGGGCTAGACACGTACCGTCGAGATTAGAGGTTCGATTCTCAAGGAGTGACTTTTTTTTAATATTTTTTTATTTTAAAAAATTTTTTTTTACCATAAAATGTAATTTTTACACAAAATAAATGTAAATAACACGATTTATTTACTTATAACACGTATATTACAAAAATGCATTTTTCTTTGCCTCAAAAAGCCGTGAAAAGCCGTCTGTAGAATAGCTGTATGCGATAGGAACTTGTATGATTATCTGTTTAATTAAAAATTATCCGATTTATGTCGTGTTTGGTGTCGTTGAAATCGCAAAAATCTCAATAATCCATTAATATTATTTTTGAATAGATAAAATGCAAAATAAAGGTTTTAGTTTTTCACTTATAAGATGTTTATATTTGTGAATTGCCATGGATGGGGAAGCCTATTGTTCGAGAGTTCGGAACTTTCTTTGATGATAGGTCCTCTCGCTCGCTCTATACTCGCAGTCTCGCTTTCTCTCTCGCACACGACGAGTTGTGAGATGAGCTCGAAAAGATAAGCGGGCCCGAGCGCCCGAGTATCGAGATCAAAGAACGTTCCGAACTCTCGAACAATAGGCTTCCCCATCCATGGCAATTCACAAATATAAACATCTTATAAGTGAAAAACTAAAACCTTTATTTTGCATTTTATCTATTCGAAAATAATATTAATGGATTATTGAGATTTTTGCGATTTCAACGACACCAAACACGACATAAATCGGATAATTTTTAATTAAACAGATAATCATACAAGTTCCTATCGCATACAGCTATTCTACAGACGGCTTTTCACGGCTTTTTGAGGCAAAGAAAAATGCATTTTTGTAATATACGTGTTATAAGTAAATAAATCGTGTTATTTACATTTATTTTGTGTAAAAATTACATTTTATGGTAAAAAAAAATTTTATTTAAAATAAAAAAATATTAAAAAAAAAAGTCATTCCTTGAGAATCGAACCTCTAACCTCGACGGTACGTGTCTAGCCCCTTAACGCTACGCCACACGCTCTTCGATATAACGCTCTATTCCATACGTATTTATACGGCACTCATTATTTTTGATTTCGATTTTCTCGCGTACGCTTGAGAAATGCATTTTATCTCTTTATTCCACAATAATTAAAAGGATTTCATTAAATTGACAAATATAGTCGTACTAAAAAAAAAAAAAAAAAATTGGCCCTGCGAGGTCTCGAACTCATCTCCTTTAATAGCTACGTGTTACTGGCGCTCATCTGTGCACATAGCACGGAATCGAACCACGTACCGTGCACATAGCCTGTTACCACTCGGGAGCATCGTGCACATGGCTACGTAGTTCAATGTGCACGTTTTGTGCACATAGAGGCGCTTTGAATTCCGGTTGCAGCTAAATCGAGGGGATGACCACTCTCATCCTTCTCTCTGAGTAAAGTATGGTGCAGATCTCTTACGAGCAGCGTTGGACTTGGAGCTCGCACAGTTTCTGTGCGCACAGTGCAAATCATGGCGAAGGATGAAGGGGACGATGTGCTGCCAGACAAGGACGCGGCGAAAGGATTCTACGCCAAGTACGAGCCCAAGGAGATCCTAGGAAGGTACCTGTTACTTTAGCCTCGTCTCGATCACCTTTTATTATCAAGTATTTTTACTGACTCGCGAGTTGCTGCTCCCTCTTTTTCTAATTCCTGAATATCAGGTCAAATGGTGCGAATCGGTGGAAGAAATTAATTTATAATTGTGTTTTAAATTCACAGTGACATTACATAATTCAGGCGAATTTCCATAAATTTTGCCACGAGTCGCAATAATTGCATTATGTCGACGAATTTAACGAGTTAAACTTAATAATGTGGGAACAAATATTCCAGGGGAATATCTTCCACTGTCAGAAGATGTATTGAGAAAGAGACAGGTAGAGAGTACGCAGCTAAAATTATAGACATCAGCAATGAGACTAACGAGGATGGGCATCATATGAAGGACGCTACGCTGCAAGAGGTGCAGATACTTCATAGAGTTGCTGGACATCCTTATATCAGTAAGTTCTCTAAGTTTTGCTTCTCTTGGAAGATTGTTGAAAACTATATTTAAGTTTATTTAAGTCTATTTAATTTGTCTATTTAAATCTCGTTAAATTTGACTTCGCTAATTTTGGTGTCTTAATGTAAACACTAATACGTCCCCTCTGTGTGATAATTACGTGACAATTTCATGTATGTAACTGTACTCTTACGTGTTATTTAAGAATTGTTCTATTTTAAAAAGAGAGAGAGAGCCAAAATTAATGAGATTCTGTTTTATGTTAATAGCTTAAGAGAGGTCATTATGATTATTTTTATTTTCTTAAATATTTTCTGCCAAATGTGCGATAACTGTAATTATTTTTTTAATTTCTAGTTGAATTGCACGATGTTTTTGAATCGAACACATTTATATTTTTAATCTTTGAATTGTGTAAAAATGGAGAATTGTTTGATTATCTTACGTCTGTCGTGACACTGTCTGAAAAGAAGACACGTTATATCATGAGGCAAGTGTTTGAAGGTGTTCAACATATACATGATCAAAGAATAGTACACAGGGATTTAAAGCCTGAGAACATATTGCTGGACGATAACTTGAATGTGAAGATAACAGATTTTGGATTTGCCAGAATGTTGAAACCTGGTGAAAAGTTAGACGGTTTGTTCGCATTATTTATTTCATATGATTTTTAATTACAAAAAATTTTTGTACTAATTTTTTTGTATCTTGCAGATCTTTGCGGTACACCTGGCTATCTAGCACCGGAAGTATTAAAATGCAACATGTTTGAAAACGCAGAAGGTTATGGATTTGAAGTTGACATGTAAGATTTGTTTATTATTTATAGAAATACATAAATACATATATATATATATATATATATATATATATATATATATTCATATATTACTATATACATCTATATACACTTATATATAGCTATATATTATTTTACAACTATAATGTATATAGATTTTTATATAAATGAATTTTAATTATAACTCTTTCTTGCTATATATTCTATTATATATTGTTCATTTTTTTTTGTGATGTAATAGATGGGCTTGTGGTGTAATTATGTTTACTCTATTGGTTGGCTGCCCTCCATTTTGGCATCGGAAGCAAATGGTTATGCTTAGAAATATAATGGAGGGAAAATATTCTTTTACATCTCCCGAATGGGCTGATATAACAGGTAAAAAATTGCAATTAATAAAGACTACATCTTAAAAAATAATAAAATAAGGCTCTATGAAAATATATACAAAGTGATTCGAAATTGGAGAATAATGAGACTGCACCACAGTTTGTGAAAAATATAATAATGAAACAGTACATGCCACTAAGAAATAGTTTTTTTATTATAATATTAGATATATATATATTTAAATATAAATATGTATATAAAAACTTATATTTAAATATTATTTAATTAAATTTAAAATCTATATTTAAAAAACTTTTTGCAATAAAAAATAGTACAGATTTTCATTACTTAATTTTTCACTTTATGCTGTAATCTTATCCTCGAAACGTTGTGTGTATGCATATATATTATATATATATATATGATTTTATATATATTTTAGAGGCTCCAAAAGATTTAATAAGAAAGTTGCTCGTTGTTGATCCTAAAAAAAGAAGTACTATAAAAGAGGCATTAGAACATTCATTCTTCCACACTGTTGTAAGTATTAAATATTATTATAATATTATATTACACATATGTAATATACACATAAGAAATTTTTTTACAACTAATTTTATATACATCATGTTTTACTATGTTATATTTGTTTTATTTATTGCTCTTTAACTATTTTTATCTGAAATTATACTTGCACCTATTTCACGATTATTCTTATAACTTTATAACTAATAATTTTATGCACATTGTGATTTACTATTGGAGTATATTTGTTTTATTTATTGCTCTTTCATTATTTTTATCCCAAATTATTACTTGCACCTATTCACTCTTCTTTCTTATATCTATTTTTATATCTATTAATTTCATTATTCTTATATTCAAAGATTATAATATACAAGATATAAGAATAAAGATAATATATATAGAAAAAAAACTTATATTTTCTTCTGCTTACATTTAATGGTACAAATATTGCAGTTTAAATCAATATTTTGATCTAGTTATTTATGTATATTTAAAAAATTTTTTAATATAAATATTTTATAAAAAATATAAGTTATTGATCTTACAGCTGTGGGATCAAGACATCGCTCCTCTAAAACGTTCTCTGTCCTCTAACTCGCGACGTCTGAGTAGGATATCTCAGTTAGCTTTGGTAATTTACTTTTCTTTTTATTTTGTTGCCAAAATGTAAAATTTACTATTGTTTTCATATAACAATTAATATTTTTATTGTTTTAGCCAACATTCATTAATTGTTAGAAATATATAGATAATTGAAAACAACCACACGCGCGCGCGCGTTGAATGAATATCGAAGGATGATAAAATTAAGTTTTTTTGGAAAAAAAATTTATAAACACACACTCAGTTTATTATTATCTTATCTATTTATTATGAACGTTTAGTTCATCATTATCTATCCTTTCTTAAGCACACATTATTCAAGTTGTTTTCAATCATTCTATGCACAATTAACTACATATAATTATTTATAATGATAATTTATCATAATTTTTATAAAATTATTTTTTTATATGACTAATCTATTGCACTCTATTAATATTTCTTCTCACATAATTATTGTACAAACAAATATATATATATATTAATATTTTAAAAGGAAAATATATAAATATATATATATTTTTGCACCTATGCACATATATTGTAACATATATTTTTAATAAATTAATATTTCATCAATAAATAATTGTATAAAGATGAAACAAACATGTACATAAATATGTGTATCTACATATATAATCTATTAATGAAATTAAAATCATAAGTTACAATATGTTTGTATGCTCAATAATATTAGTTATTTTTTCGATATTAGTTTTTTCAGTCTTATTATCTAACTATTGATTTATTCAGTTTGATTGTATTTATAAAAAAAAACTTAATATATTTTATTATATGTAGAGAACAATAGCAATAATATTTCACGATAGAAATATTAATTTAAAATAGCTTAAATTTTTGCTACTTTTTACTGTAAAAACTAACGAGTTTGCACTGTATGTATTAATTTTCTTCTTACATAGGAATTGAAGGCCAAATCGTTCAACGCACGAAAGAGATTCCAATTGGCAATTATTTGTGTGCGAGCAGTTATTCGTATTAAACGACTTCATATCACGCCTGAACCGCTTTCAGCACAAATAACTTATACTGATCCATATAGGATAAAAATTCTGCGGAAGGTATACATTTTTAAAAATATTAGAATAATATTTCATACTAACAAACTAATCCAATGTTCACCAATTCGAATTTTCTAATAATTAATTCAATATTTTATAGTGTCACCTACACTAAGTAAAATCCATGTATTTTTATATGGAAATTACTTGTTCAAAACTGGAAAAATTACTTAATTATCACTAATTTTTTAAAGTAAATATACATGTTAATGTAAAATCTACATAAAATATAGGTAAAATTACTATTTTTATGTAAAAATTACTTGTAATTTTAAATTTAGTACTTTTACTTTATTAGAATTTTATTTTATAAACATTATCCATTTTATTTATAACATTATTTTATAGCATTTTGTAATTTCACGTTCAGCAATATTTATAAATTTCATATGAAATTACACATAATCTGTAATCTTCCAAATGGGCAGCAATAATAGCATAAATTGCATGATTCTATTGAGTCGAAAAAACCTAGTATAATGTAATTTTACACATATTTTTTTCAGTGTAGTTTAATTATAGTGCGATATACTTGTGATATTGATTGTATGCTATTAAATATGTAATAATTGTTTAAAAAAATACTAACCAACAGTTTTTAAATTATCTGTAAATTCACAGAGTCTTTTAAAATGATTTTAAAATTGAATATATACGAACATGATTATACAATTAAGCTTAAGAGATTAAATAAGTATGAATATAGTAATGTGTGTTTTTTTGTTAAATATTTATTAATTATAATTTTTCAGGTGATCGACGGCTGTGCATTTCGAGTTTATGGACATTGGGTAAAGAAGGGAGAGGGTCAAAATCGCGCGGCACTTTTTGAAAATACACCAAAGACAGAACTGAAGCATCTGTACGTTAATAATTTAAGTAGATAACTATTATTGCTCTAGTAAAATTTTATTAAAAACAGAATCTCAATGGTCTAATAAAATAAATGTTAAAAATACAATTGTAAAATAATGTTTGAAAACAGGATCTAACAATCATGAAATAGTTAAATTCTGTATGTGAGTGTGTGTGTGTGTGCGTGTTGATGTTTAAACTGATTAGATTAGATTATACATTGAAATTTATATTTGTGTAACAAATTCATATTATTATTGTAATATGATAAATCAGCATATAACTAAAAACTGGAATTGCAAGAAATGTATTTCTATGTACATTTAAATGTAAAGGTTTAAAATTTGCAAAACGCTATTTGCAAATATTTTCTAACAATATTTTTTATAAATGTACTAAAAGTTTGGGCCATAATGTAATAATATAAAATTACCATATATGATAATGTGATAAGGTAACTATCTTGCTAAAAATGTTTGAAAAATCTTTTATTTACTCCTAATTAAAACAGTAGTACTATTAATATTTAATAAAAATATATATATTTGTTAATTAAATTATTATAAAGCTTTATAATATACTTGTTATATACAATGTACATTTAATACATTAATTCTTAGATCAATTTCCATTAGAATGTAATATTTTATGCAAAATCTAGTCACAATTTGTACAAATAAGTTCTAAAACTTATATTAGAGAATATACATATTTCTATAAAAAAATAAAGCTGAATAAGATTTACTACAAAAATCTTTATTTAATTCATTTGGAGTATTCTAATTGTGGATTTAAAGAAAGTCAAAACAAGAATATAAGTATGCTGCCTTCTAAGCCGGGCAATAGAGCCAAGGAAACGAAACGAAAAATTAATTAAACGGAACTGTATCTCAATTTGAGATCCCAAAGTTCCACATATAAATTAATTTCGAAACTTACATATGGAGAAATAAGCGAGAAAAATATAGGTCCGAAAAGTCGCTGAAGCGGGAATCGAACCCGCGTCTTTCACTTTCCGGGCGACTGCTCTTACCAACTAAGCTATTCAGACCCTTTCGATCCTATATTTTTCATTTGCCTTTTTAGTAGATGTTAGTAAATACCGCCGTGATTAGCCCAAGGCGTGAATAAACTCAGAAATAAATATTTTTATCGGCTCTCAATATAAATAATATAAGTATGCTGTCTTCTAAGCTGGGCAATAGAGCCAAGGAAACGAAACGAAAAATTAATTAAACGGAACTGTATCTCAATTTGAGATCCCAAAGTTTTCCCGCTTCAGCGACTTTTCGGACCTATATTTTTCTCGCTTATTTCTCCATATGTAAGTTTTGAAATTAATTTATATGTGGAACTTTGGGATCTCAAATTGAGATACAGTTCCGTTTAATTAATTTTTCGTTTCGTTTCCTTGGCTCTATTGCCCGGCTTAGAAGGCAGCATACTTATATTCTTTATATTGAGAGCCGATAAAAATATTTATTTCTGAGTTTATTCACGCCTGGGCTAATCACGGCGGTATTTACTAACATCTACTTAAAAGGCAAATGAAAAATATGGGATCGAAAGGGTCTGAATAGCTTAGTTGGTAAGAGCAGTCGCCCGGAAAGTGAAAGACGCGGGTTCGTTTCCCGCTTCAGCGACTTTTCGGACCTATATTTTTCTCGCTTATTTCTCCATATGTAAGTTTCGAAATTAATTTATATGTGGAACTTTGGGATCTCAAATTGAGATACAGTTCCGTTTAATTAATTTTTCGTTTCGTTTCCTTGGCTCTATTGCCCGGCTTAGAAGGCAGCATACTTATATTCTTTATATTGAGAGCCGATAAAAATATTTATTTCTGAGTTTATTCACGCCTGGGCTAATCACGGCGGTATTTACTAACATCTACTTAAAAGGCAAATGAAAAATATGGGATCGAAAGGGTCTGAATAGCTTAGTTGGTAAGAGCAGTCGCCCGGAAAGTGAAAGACGCGGGTTCGTTTCCCGCTTCAGCGACTTTTCGGACCTATATTTTTCTCGCTTATTTCTCCATATGTAAGTTTCGAAATTAATTTATATGTGGAACTTTGGGATCTCAAATTGAGATACAGTTCCGTTTAATTAATTTTTCGTTTCGTTTCCTTGGCTCTATTGCCCGGCTTAGAAGGCAGCATACTTATATTCTTTATATTGAGAGCCGATAAAAATATTTATTTCTGAAAACAAGAAATGTTTATCATTGCTGAGTACATAAATATATATATATGTATATTATATATTCTCTATAGTAATATATCCATATATAATATAATTGGATAAACATTCAAAAATAATTCAAACTACATGAAAACTTGTATTATATAAAAAACAAGAACTGCTGTTCTTATCAAAGATGCTTATATCTTATATGTATGATAACATATATTTAGTTATATTATTATATTACACTTATGTGAATATGCATATATAAATATGTGCATATATGTATATATATATCCACACATAGTATAACAGTGTAAGTTTGTAATCTTTCTTTAATAATGTTTAAAAATGTATTATTATTATTATTTTTGATTTGTGCTTGTACAATGTAAATTTAGTGACAATAGTTTTGCAGATAAGTAATTATAAATCATAGATAATATAATTGATAAATAAAATATATTTATTATTCTAAGAAATAATAAAAATATTTTCAGAAAAAATTAATTGACTTGTATATAAAACTATAAACGATAATAAAAACTATTAAATGTAGTCAAGGTCTTTTTTCTTAAAATGAACATTATTTAATGTATCTAAAATTAGATGAATATTATATATATTATGTCATAAAACTGCTCTTATAGATGTATATTAAAATTAATTAGATTCAAAAGATTATGATTTATTATGTAGATATTAAACAAGAGAATTCTACATTCTAAATTAATAATATATATATATATGTAAATAGCTTAATTCTGCTTTCAACTTTAGTTGTCTTTTATAAATTTAAAATTCCATTTTTTTCTCTTATATAATTTACATCCTTATATATGTAATTAGAAGAATAATTTTAGTCTCACTTCAAAAAATTCAATTTTTTTTAAATTATTTTTCCCGTATATATATATATATTTTTTTTTTCAATTTAAATACATATTTCACATATCCCAGCGTATTTTAATGAATTTCATCGGAAATAGAATTTGCGCCCGAGATCGAAGTAAGCGAGAAAAAAGTTTCCTAGAAAAGAAAAAGCGATTTGTGCCAAAGAGATGTATTTTTGGTAGCCAGAGGTTGCATCGGACGACCTCGTGGACACGCATTGACACGCACGCGCGCCCGCGAAAGCACCGGCGAAAGTAAACAATAGAGCACATAGAGAGCGCTCCCCACCCTTCGTACTCGAGCCGAGAGACATGGCAACAACGCGCTCGCGCTCGTGCAGCTCCGCGAGAGCCTGCCCATGTGACAGAGAAGGAAGCGTGACACAAAAGGTGGCGGAGAGGGTGACGCGTTGCCCGCTGCCGCGCCGCCACACCACCATGACGATCCGTGCGTGAGTGTTTGCCCGGGCGAGCCGGGTGTCTGGCGTGTCTCGTGTGTCTTCTCTCCTCTCCTCGCGCGAGAGTGCACACGTCATAATCTCTCGCGCGACGCGAAATAACGAGAGAACGGAGTTTCCGCAGTGATCCGAGTTTTCTTCGCGAGTGACGTTTTGACGAAGAAGAAAAAGAAGAGAAGAAAAGGAGGAGGAAGAGAAGAAGAAAAGGAAGAAGAAGAAGAAGAAGAAAAGGAGGAGAAGAAGAAAGAAAGGAAGAGAGCGCGAATTTAGCGAGGAGCAGCGAGATACTCGTCTCTTCTTTTACACGCCCAGCGGGAGCCGCTGCGTCACATGGGCCGCGCTCATTCGTCGATAGAGCCGGATGACGTCACGCGCCGCGCGACCATTGGCCCGCGACACGGTGTCCGGACACGTGAATCGTGGCCGTGCAAGCATGGCAGTTTGATGCGCAGTGGTTTTCAGCAGCGCTTGTAAAATGCCACCGCCACGCGCCAGCAGATCGATCAGGTTATAACCCACGTTTCGCAGCGCGCGCGGAACTCCGAAACGCCTGTCTCTCTTTTCCCTTCGTTTCGTTTTAACGCGTCCCGGCAGCAACTTCAGGTTGGTCCGTTCTCGCTCGCCCGCTCGTTCCGATTTCCTCAGCGTTGTTCGTCGCGGAGGCTCGTCGGAGGCTGCCTCGGATTCCTTCCCTCCCGGATGACAAATACGCCGTGAAACGTGGTCGAGGTGACTTTTTCTCCGAGTGACCAAGAGTCGAGGATTATCGTAACGCCGCTATAATTACTTCTGCCCAGTGTCTCCCTGTGCGTGGTGTATATGTGTATGTGTGTGTCTGCGTGGATCACGGAATACAGCGTACTTCAATACGTAAGTTTTGACGGAGATATATACACACGCACATACACACAAAGCCTTGTGTCTTCTGTCTCTATATCTATATATCTTTCTCTCTTCCATAAACTACCACGCCCGTTCGAGAGAAAGAGCGAGGGATGAAGAGGAAGAAGGAGAGGAGGGATGGGAGGGAGGGAGCGCGGAAAAAATTTTAAAAAAAATAGTGAGAGATAAAATGAACCTTGAAAAGAGGGAGACCGAGGCGAATTTTGAGACGCGGAGCATCGCATGAAAAATGTTCTTCCTAGTCGCCTAGCATCTATTTAATTAACATGTGTACGGAGATGATTGCGTGGCGTGTTTTCTGTGCCATTATAGAACCGGCCAATGGCGCGGCGGCTAGCCCGGTGACGTCACGGGCCGCGGGACGCGCCGATTGGCCGGCCGCTGCGTGCGTCGTCGACCCACACTAGCGTGCGTGTTGACGCTTTGTCAGTTGTCGGGGGCTCACGCGGCGATGTGGGCACACGTTTTCTCGAACTTTTTTCTTTTTTCTTTTTTTTCCTTTTCTTATTTTTTTTTCTCTTTTTGATTTTTCGCGCGCATCGTAGAACCTTAGCGATTTCCGTTTTAGCGATTAATCGCCGTGCGGCGGATCGACTATCCTGTCTCTCTCTCTCTCTCTCTCTCTCTTCTCTCTCTCTCTCTCTCTCTCTCTCTCTCTCTCTCTTTCTCTCTCTCTTTTACCCTCTCCTTCTCTCTCTCCCGCGGAAGAATGCGAGTGCGACCGCACGTCGTCGATGTCGTACGCTTTCGCGATTTCATCCGGCGAGGTATATATCTCTGCTTTCCAAATCGACACGGAAAGCCTCGTTTCGTTTTATATTTACGACTTTGGCTTTTTTTTATTGTTCCTTCCCCTCTCTGCGATATTTTCCTTTTCTTTTTAAATATAGTTTCGACTTTTGCCAGTTTTTTCGGATTTAAGTATTTTTAAATCTTGTTAAATGCGAATTCAAATATAATAATAATTTTTTTATTTGTGCACATATAATTTATTTTAAATTAAAAATAAATTTAAAATTTTTATTTTTAATTTTTTTTTTTTTAATTTTATTTAGTAATAAATTATTTTATTCACACATCATATTTCTTTCTTACCCTTTTTCTTCCTCTTTCTTTGCTATTTTTTGAAAATATAATTTTAACTTTATTATTTTCATAATTTATTTTTGAATTTAAATTTAAAAAATAAATTAAAATTTTTGATCTTTTAAAATCTTATTGAAGTAATAAATTATTTTATTCACAGATTATCGTATCACTTCTTCAATTTTTGTTATCTTCATATATTTCTATTGTGATGTCCCCCTGTTATTGTATATAAGAATAACCTGTTGTAAAAAAGATAAAAATAAATCTTTTCTTTCTCTTTCTCGCTTTTTTTAGCGCGAATTACATGATTTCGTGTATCTAGCGGATGAATAACAGGAATTCGCGAAAACAGAATTTTATGAACTGTCATTTTCGGTCGATCGATGTATCAAGCTCGTGCATTATTATGAAGCAAAAAAAGTACTTCAGTTAATCGATCGAATCGCAAAATAAAATTACACGCGAGTTGCAGGGATCGACTATCTCGAGAATAAAAGAATTGAAGAAACCGAGCGTTCTACAAATACTTTTTTATAAAGAATACAGAGATGAATAGTTCATATATTATATATTATGACAGTTCTAGTAAGCGTTTAATAAATATCTCAAAATATAAAAGAAAATAAGGAACTTTTGCACCGTTATGTTCTGTTAATCCTTGAACGCAAAAAATCGAATATAAATCGCGCGTTTGAAAAGTGTGTGATCACATTTTCTTTTTTTTCACGAGTTGCAGTCTCAAAACACATTCTCGCCCTTTTTCTTTATTTTTTCTAATAAATTCGCTCGATTCCAGCAACGCGAACTCGGGATGCGTGCTGCCATTCTGTGCTAAAAAAAAAAAAAAAAAAAAAAAAGAAGAAAAACCTGCGCCGTATCGCCATCGCAGTGCGCCTGCGCGGCACGTTCCGTCTGTTGCAAGAGCGGCGTGAGTGGGCGGCTAGGAGTGGGGATGGAAATCGCTTCCCGCGCGACTGCGTTACGTCATGTATACGCGTCACGTGACGTCCCTCGCAGTGCGCACACACACATACGTACTCGACAATCGTGACTTCCCTCTCTCTCTCTTTCCGGCGTTTTCCAAATAATTCCAATATATTCTAGATGTAAGAGTAAAAAATCGCGATAAATAAATGTTTAAATATTAATAATAATATTTAAATAATTTTAATTCCTAAATTAAAAATTATTCTTCAATTTTTAATACCTTTAAATTCGTGGAAGAAGCTATATTTTATTTTTTTTCTATAGTTTTCATTTTCCAAAACCTATATCGCGCTCGAATATTTATTGTAGAACCGTAATATCTGTTTTCCCTCCGAATCTATTAATAAATGTAAACATGTTTACTGACGACGATTAATTTTTTTTGTCGCACGTAGACCGTCCGAAGTATCAACGGGACGCAGCGACGCAAGCAAAAGGAAGAGGGGTGAAGGTGGTTGTTGGCTGAGCTTGCGACAACCTGGTCCTGCCAATTCATCGCCGGCGTCTGGAGGAACCGGCGGCGGCTGCGGCGTCGGCGGCCGCCGTAAAGCCGGCGATTCGATGCTGCGGAATCAGCAAGACCATCATTCGGCCAACGTCTGCGAGCACAGAGAACAGCAACAACCACAACAGCAGCAACAGCACAACAATCACTACCACAATCATCGCGTCCCTCCTCTCCCCTCTGCGTCCGTTGCTCCGAGGGAACAGCAGATCGGCCATAGAATGAGTCTGGAAACGTTGCTACAAGCTGCCTATTATGTCGAACAGGAGGAGAAGAAGCGGGAGCGTCTCGCGAGTACTTCCTCCTCCTCCTCCTCTTCCGACCAGCACTCGTTTGTGTCCGCGCCGCCCCACTCTAACCACACTTACGCCTCTTCTGAGCCACGTGGTGAGTACCACGCGCGCCGGTTCCTCGGCGACCTTTATGAATCGTTATAAGCACCTAGCGGATTCTGACGTCGGTAGAGTTTCGGCAATAATATTTGATTTTTTCTTTTTTTATCATGCTTAACTTTATACTTCAGGATCAACATGAAACTTCTCTGATCCTAGTATTTTTTTTTTTTAATTTTTTACATGTTTTTTTTCCTTTATTATTTAAATTTTCTTTAATTTTTGTTATTTCCGATATTTCGGAATTTATTCGGTCGATATTTTAAGCTATGTCCTCGCTGGAGCAACAACGAGCAACTTTTTGTTGGTGTTCATGTTTCTTAAAAATGTTGCTAGCTGTTGCTGAAAGCTTCATAAGCTGCATCCTCACTGGAGCAACGAACAACTTTTTGTTCATATTCCATGTTTCTTAAAAAAGTTGCTCGTTGCCGAAAGCTTCGTAAGCTATGTCTTTACTGGAGCAACAACGAGCAACTTTTTGTTGGTGTTCATGTTTCTTAAAAATGTTGCTAGCTGTTGCTGAAAGCTTCATAAGCTGCATCCTCACTGGAGCAACGAACAACTTTTTGTTCATATTCCATGTTTCTTAAAAAAGTTGCTCGTTGCCGAAAGCTTCGTAAGCTATGTCTTTACTGGAGCAACAACGAGCAACTTTTTGTTGGTGTTCATGTTTCTTAAAAATGTTGCTAGCTGTTGCTGAAAGCTTCATAAGCTGCATCCTCACTGGAGCAACAAGCAACTTTTTGTTCATATTCCATGTTTCTTAAAAAAGTTGCTCGTTGCCGAAAGCTTCGTAAGCTATGTCCTCGCTGGAGCAACAACGAGCAACTTTTTGTTGGTGTTCATGTTTCTTAAAAATGTTGCTAGCTGTTGCTGAAAGCTTCATAAGCTGCATCCTCACTGGAGCAACGAGCAACTTTTTGTTCATATTCCATGTTTCTTAAAAAAATTGCTCGTTGCCGAAAGCTTCATAAGCTATGTCTTCACTGGAGCAACAATAAGCAACTTTTTGTTCATGTTCCATGTTTCTTAAAAATGTTGTTTGTTGTTGCTTCAATAAGGACAGCTTTAGGTTGATATTAATCAAGCAGAACTATCAAGATTAGTATAATAAGATTTTTCTTTCTAATTAGCATTTTACACCATTTTAATCGGTCCTTAATTTTCATAAATATAATATAATCAGCCATATTTTTTTCAATATGCCACGTTTTCTTCATAACATAGAAAATAATAGACATGTGTCATGTATCGTATTTCTATCATTTTATATTATCAACATTACTTGCATATTATGCAATAATAATTTTGTCAATGTTGCAAATACTTTACTGATAATTAATAATGCAATGCTCTTTTTTTACCAATATAATATCAATTAAATCATTGCGGAACGGCAATATTTAATGCACAAAAACGGAGAAATGTACAAAATGCATTGTCATCCGTAAAACTTATCTTAATCTTCCAATGATAAGAAGCAAAAAAACTTTAACGTGTTGACGAATCAGCGCTTAAGCAACATTCAATGAAAATGCACTCGTACCAAACAGGAACGCATCATAAGAATAATTCTTCCAAATTAAAAAATAAAATAAATAAATTATGTCAAATAAAGACATTTTTAAACGAAAAAAAATAAAAGCAAAAAATAACATCAGAAGTTTCACTACGTTTTTGTTGTTGAGCCTGAAGCAAAAAAGCTAGGCGTCAAACCAAGAAAAATTATAATCGAATAATTTTACCGAATCTCCCCCACGTTTCTTTATCCCCATCGACGTCAGGATTTGATAATGATCATGTCTACTTAGATTGAGAAACACTGGCACGCGCAATCATATGCGATGATCAACGGCGTTCCCTGCTTCCAAATTAGGTATGATTTACCTTGCGACAGTGTTTCTCAATCGTGGCGAACACTGGAGAAAGTCATTTGCGTGTGAAAACGTTTACTATATCTCCTAGAGTTCACCATTTATTATATATGTTTTGGGATGAGCACATATTTCTTGTTCTCTAGAAGAGTCAATTGACCCTTATCTTGCAGTAGCTCTTTGATGTTTTTCTTTTATTTTAAAACCATCCCAAAGTATTTTTCCAAATATAAGATACAATTAAAGAATTAAATGTTTTGCGAGCAATGTTCCTTCGTCCCCAGATATTACTTATTGGTTAATCGGTTGGTTCTCTCAGAGTGATAAACAAAGATTATTGTAATAAAACCAAAAGTCTGTGGTCTATAAATACAAATTCAGATGAGGTTAATAAGAACTAGACGTAACATTGTTGTGCTTTTATTTAATTTGAACGTTTCGATCCTTTGGATCAACTTTAGATCAATTAACAAAACAATTCACGTGTCTTGATCACATCCACAAGATTATTGTGGCATCATATTTCTTCGATATTGCCACTAAATTTTGTTCATGTCAACTTGATTGGCAGCCAATTCTGTGAGGAAAATCTTCGCGAATACTCGTAAATCCTACAGGCCAAAACATGATGCGATTAGTTGTGAATTATCACTCGATATATTTCTTCCTTTGTCTTCCTCTCTTTCTTCTTACATCCCACGAAGATCCCCGTCCATTAAGTTTGACTTTGCTGGGCTATTTGACAAACCGTGCACAAAAATGCATCACTGAAGAAAAAGAATAAAATTTTATTCGTTACAGAACGTAAGAGATCTCAAAAAAGCTGAAAATATAATAGAACTCAACAAGTTGGGGAAAGAAGTATATCGAAGCTATTCGATGTTCAAGTTGTTATAGGAAAAATATGAGATGACTTGAAACAAAGGAATTAGAGAAGGAGATACATTTGGTAGCAACTCTTTGATACTGTGCTACAGCAATGGTAACAAATCCGGGTATCGCGCACGTGTGTCGGACATGTGAACGAGGATAGAAGATGGAGGAAACCCGGTCACTGACTCTAGAAACTACGGCGCAGCTCGGTCACTCGCATTTCATTCACGAGAGCGCCATCTACTTTCGCGCGCAGTCAGTACCTTCTTCCCCCACCTTCTTTCTCTTTTTCCTGCTCTCTCCTTTCCCTTTTCCCTCTTACTCCCTCTCACTCGCGCCTTTTCCCCTGCTCCTTTCCTTTCCTTTTCCTCTCTTCCCTAAGCTACTCTTTCCCTCCCTTCTCTTTCTCTCTTTTTTTTCTCCCTTCTTTGCCCTTTCTCTCACTCTCTTTTCCCTCTATAATTTTTTAACATTTTATATATATAATAATATAAAATATATATAACTTAATTTTATTCAATTCGACCAAACTGGCACATTACAAAAACAAGAAATCACACAACGTTTCGGCCAACAATTACTGGCTCTTATCAAGTGTATCTAATTATTGAAGTAAATTTACATATTAACTATAAACTATAAATATATATATATATATATATATATATAGGGTGTTTCAGAAGGAATGGTCAGTATTCTAGAACTTGATTGTACACATGATTTTAAGCAAAAAGTTTATATAAACACGTGTCTTAATCTAGACGATTATAAAGATACAACGTTCGAGAACAAGTACATTTATTAACTTAGTAAAACTAAATTCTATGAAATAATTACATGAAATTCCACGCTTACAATTTATGTATAATGTATAAAAAATTTTTTCAAATTTTTTATGCATTATACTTTAAAGTTTTTTAATAAAAAATTAGTACAAAGTATAGGAAATTTTGCAAATTACGTTCTTACTTCACATTCTGTATATTTATATCGTGTATTGTGCGTAGGTATGTGTAAGCAGAAAATTTCTCACAAAATAAATAAAAATAAATAAAATAAGAATCTGCGAGTGCTTACACACAATCTCGATTACAATATGAATAATTTAAATGCTTTATAATTTTGTTTATTTTCTTATATCTTTTGTTATAATTCGATCCATTATCGGGATACACGTGCTTTTATATCATCGCGGCAATACGCGATTATACCTGATATGACGCGCAATGGTGTGTTAAATTATCATTTAAGATCGTCTATCTTACACGCGAAGCATGCAATTCCGCTTTATAATGTCATAAAGTCATAACACATGACTGTCATTTCCCGCTATTTTACACTGCGTATGCAAAGTGACTTCTATGAGGAAAAAAAATTAGATTCCTGATTTTTTTACATTTTGTAATGTTGTGTGTGTTCTCATCAATCACATATGATTTGAAAAATTGTCATATTTAAATCTCATACATATTTTTTATCAGACCTTTTTTTTTAGTAAATTGCAGGTTTTTTTAAATAAATGACAGATGAATACAAAGAAATTGATTAATACAAACACATAATTTTAAAGCTTATTTTTCAATAAATTCGTCGATGAATTTATACGTATTCGTTATTTAACAAAAACTTTAATTATCGGAAAATTTAAACAATTGCATATCAGAATTAGAGTGGATTAAAGAATTCGAAGTAAAATATTCCGATTTGCTGAAAAACAATTATAAATTAAATATATTTCTTTTAATTACGGTTTATTTTACATAATTTTTCCATAGAATTTTTTTATTAATTTTTATTTAGATTATTTATTTATCATTTTTCTTATATATCATTTTTCTAACAAAATTAAAAACGATGACATAAGATTTTCTTTTAAAAAATAGCTCTACTAAATTTTTTTTTTTTTTTTTTTTTTTATTTTTATTTTTTTTTATAATTTAATTGATTTATTTTCATTAGTTTTACTGTTAAAAATCTAATAGAGTTTTAGTATGATTTTGGTTTAATTAAAAGAAAATAGTTGTGAAATGATTATCGATTTTGGTTTCAACTCAATCTGTGTTCGAGACTACGTATATTGGAATTAAATAAATTTAACTTGTTTCTAAAGTTTTGATTCAGCTTAAATAATATTAAAAAAAAGAATGATTGCCTTTTTCCTCAATTTAAGATTTACAATTAAAATTCAATTTGTGCAATTTTTGACAGATCTGATGACATCAGTGTTGTGCTTATTTTTAAAATTAACTAGATAAAGATGAGATGAAAACATGTAATTTATTTAAATAAGATGAAGATGATTTTGTTTTAATATATCTAGATAAAATTATATGACAAATTTATCTAGAAAACTTCCAGATAATATTATTTTTAAGTTTGCTTATGTAAATATAATTATAAAAAAATATAAATTATAAAAGAAATTTAAAAATATTTATACTTTTATTTGTTAATTTTTATTTACTGCGTAAGTTCTACTACTTAAATATTTTTATATGCTATTAATCAAATTATCTTAACACACACATTCTAAATAATTCAATAAAGATAACACTTTTTTATTTAAGATGCGGGGAAGGGGGTATAGATAATACATGTTTTTATTATCTATACAAAGATAAGATAATGCCAAAATTTCATCTAGATGATCATCTATATATAATTTTATTTCGATAACAACAAACACTGGATAATATTTTAATTTCATATAATAGTCGAAGTAATTGCAATCTAAACAATATATTAAGAAAACATCGTTTCATGTTATAAAGCAATTAAACGAAGGTACAAAATAGAGAGACAATTTTATGTAAGGTATGTACAAAATGGGGAATTTTATATGACATATATAAAAAATGGAGAAATTTTATGTATATATAAGATATGTACAAAAAATACACTATAACAAATATGTAAAATTACATAAATAATAAGTGTAAAATTACACGATAAATAATAAAAATGTATGCATTTTACATATTTTTTACAGTAAGGAATTTTACAATTATTATTTATGTAATTTTACTGTACTCCACGTGTTATACATATATTCAATCCTTTCGCAAGTCATTATATGAATTTTATACAAAATTTCTTATACTGTAAAAAATATATAATATATTACATAAAAATATGTAAAATTACATAAATAATAAGTGTAATTTTACATATTTTTATGAAAATATATAATTGTTATTATTTATCGTGTATTTTATTATTTATGTAATTTTACATATTTTTATGTAATACATTACATATATTTTTTATAGCGTAAAACATTTTGCATAAAATTAATGACTTTCAAAAAGATTGAATACGTGTATACATTTTCATAAAAATATGTAAAATTACACTTATTATTCATGTAATTTTATATATTATATGTAGTATTACATATATTTTTTACAGTGTACGGAATTTTGCATAAAATTCACATTAATGTCTCTTAGAAAGATCGAACACGTGTATACATTTTTATAAAAATATGTAAAATTACACATATTATTTATGTAATTTTACATATTTGTATGTAATATTACATATAGTTTTTACAATGTACGAATTTTGCATAAAATTTACATAATGACTTTCAGAAAGATCGAACACGTGTATAACACGCGGACTATAGTCAGCAACGACCAATAAATGCACACGTAACGCATACATACGCGGTCAAATCAGCCGCTGGAACTGCGCATGCGCGTTGTCCCTGGCTAAATCCCTACCACGCGCGACTGGCCGCGTGGCGTAGTAATCAATCTGCAGTGTTGCCAGTTCCTTCCTTTCGTTTAACAGGGTGGGGGGTAGACGGATTGAAGTAAGATAGAGCTACTCCGGCAAGTTTCTCCCCATCCTTGTGTTCCTACACGCGCTCGTACCTTCCCTCCTCCTCCCCACCCCTTTGCACTCGTTGCAAATTGTTCTGGGGGAGAAATATTAACCTAACCTAACGAACCTATTTCTCGACCAATCCAACACCACATGAAGACGCACATTTTTTAATTGTTGGTTCTTGTTATTCGATTTACTAGCTAGTTTTATGATACGATCGCAAAAAAAAATAATAATAAATATACTGAAGAGTATAATAATAAATGTAATGCAGAATTTGAGATAAAGATAAAATATATATGTATACAAGGTGTCCTGTTTTAATGTCCAATCCCAAATAACTTTTATTTTTGATGTTGATGTTCTTATCATTAAGAAAAGAAAACTAATTTAAACCGAATAATAATTGTTTTGTACAAAATCCGAAAAAATTAAAAATTTAAAGACCAGTATTTATAAAATTATTTTTACTATATTTTATGCAGTAAAATAACTTGCACATGTTTAAAAATTTATGAAATCGTAGAATTGACATCTAAAATATTTGAAAAATGTCTAATTAGTATAAAAAAGAAATCTAACGATTAAATGAAAAATAATCACGATTATTTATTTTACAATTTTTTATTATATAATATAAATGCATAAAATTATGATATATTTAATAAATAAACGATTTTTGTTTTCAGGTGCTAAATTTAAAAAAGATCGCACAGAGGCAGATGATCTTTTCTGTGAGGAGAAAATGTTGGTTATCGATGGTGAGTTAATCATAGAAAAATTTATTACAAAATAGATTAATAATTTTTACCATTTTCCTGAAATCTAAGATTTCATATATATATACAGAGTGTCCCATCAAAAGTGGCCATCCCCTTTTATCTTTGAAACTAAAAGAGATAGACCATAAAAATCATATATGAAATTAAATGGCTCAAACTGAACTTTTTTGTGAGCACAGTGGTTGCTTACAAAACTATCTATGTTTGAGCCATTTAATTTCATATATAATTTTTATGGTCTATCTCTTAGTTTCAAAGATAAAGGGAGTGGCCACTTTTGATGGGACACCCTGTATATTGAAAGTTTTTTTTTTGCTTGAAATATATTTAGATATTTCGAAAATTTTAAAAACTACGAAAAAATTTTTTTTACAAAGTTGCCAGCGTTTTACGACAAAAATAAATTTTTTAGTGCTGTTTTTTAAATTTTTTTTGGTTCTCAAAAAATTAATTTTTTTAAACAAAACCATATATTTTTTACATAGTCACAGCTTTTATGCTTTAAATATCATAATTTAAATATAGAAGATTTTTTATATCTGACGAATAATTTTTTTATATCTGACAAGTAGAAAAAAGTTACAAATGTTAAAACTCTATTGACCTCCCTAATCATATGATTGAATCTTTGTCTAAATTCAATAAATTGGAAATATTATAAGATGATTTATTCAATTTGAAGATTAATTTGAAATTGTTACGTACACATAAAGTCATTAATTATTATATCAATCGATTTTCTAAATTTTATTAATACCAAAATTCTATTTATACACTATTATTAGGTTTACATTTTAGAATATATATATATTAAAAACATTATATAGATTCTATAAAAATTACATTATATACATTTCTTTAAAAATTTAAATTAAACTTTAAAAATTATTTTATGTCAAAAACAATGCCAAGAATTTTTTTTATAAAATTTCAATTTTTCCAAAATATTTAACTATTTCAATTAACATGGGATATTCTGTTACAAAACAAATTAATTTTTATAAACATTTTTATTAAATAAAAATGTTGAAAATTTGCCATTTGGGAAGAGACGGAAAGACACGAATCTACAGAGAATTCGAATATTTTTTAAATCTTATATACATGTTATTCTTGATAAAACATAACATGATTTGATATACTTATAATTAAAATGCCACTTCCTCACTAATCAAGTCGGTGAAATTTAGGCAGAATAATAATTCTGCTGAGAATATAGTAGTTCACTGGAAACAGTTTTCATAAAGATGTCACTTATGGGCGTCTGCAGGATTTTTCCTGGAAAAGGAATAATTAAATTATTTTTGATTTTAATTTAAAAAACATTTTTCGTTATTTCATTTTTTAATATTAACTATTCAAATAAATTTCAGTTTAAAGTTAAAAAAACAAATTTATATATTTTATAGTTCTGCTGAGAACATAGTAGTTCACTCGAAACAGTTTTCATAAAGATAGATGTCACTAATGGGCGTCTGCAGGATTTTTCCTGGAAAAGGAATAATTAAATTATTTTTGATTTTTAATTTAAAAAACATTTTTCGTTATTTTCATTTTTTAATATTAACTATTCAAATAAATTTCAGTTTAAAGTTAAAAAAACAAATTTATAATTTTGTTTTTTACTGATCCCCTGCGGGCGTCCATGACGTCACTGCTACAGAAGAGACTAAACACTGAAGAGGAATTGTTATTACTGTCACTGTACCACCACCAATGCTGTCTAGCTAGAAGGGTGGGACGGAAACGTCACACCCCTCCCCTCCCTTGTGTCGGATCGAAGGTGGTGGCAACACTTAAGTTCAGATTTTAGTCGGTCCTCGCGACTTATGCAGTAGCAAGTGTATTTGTTTCTTGCATTCGGTCGAGAACCTCTGCTGAAAAAAAAAAAAAAGAAAAAACATTATCTGCTTATCTCGGTTAAAATCCGTGTGTTTTGCGTTCAAGAATGTGTGTTTTCAATATTTTATAATATTAATAATGTTTTTTAATAATTAATTGTTTAAAATTAGAAATAATTGATATACTGTCATAATGATAAATATATAAGTATAGATAGTTAAACATTAAAATAGAAGAGCTTTCAAATAAATCAAAGATTATTTATTTATTATATATGTATAAAGAGTATTAATTTATATTTATATGTAATTATTATTACTAGCTTTTCGGACCGCGCTTCGCGCGGTCCTCAAAGCCAGCCTTTCTATTCGGACCGCGCTTTGCGCGGTCCTCATATAGTCTATATTAAATCCGTTTTAACACAAAAAATTAATTCTTTTTTTGTATTACCGCGAACTACTTCCACATTTGTTGTTCGACTTTCACGAAATTTATACCAAAATAAATGTTTAAATTTTTTTGTGGATGACTACTATGTTATCTATTTCTTTCTCCCAGATATTTTATTTTCTTTTTTTAAGACACGCTTCTCTCTCTCTCACTCTAAAACACACGCGCTCCCTCTCTCTCTCTTTAAGACACATGCTCTCTCTCTCCTTATCTCTCTCCCTCCCTCTTTCTTTAAACACACCTCTCTCTCTCTCTCTCTCTCCTCTCTTCTCTCTCTCTCTCTCTCTCTCTCTCTCTCTCTCTCTCTCTCTGTGTGTGTATGTGTGTGGGGTTTTTTTAAACGCTTTCACCTACGCATCCACCCACACAATCGCATATTTATGAACGGATTTTTTAAAAATTGGTACCAAAATGTTGCAAATTTTTGGCGACGATGTGGTTTTTCAAGTGTTACACCTCCACCCACACGCATGCGCATTTATGGACCAATTTTCACGAAATAGTACCAAAATGTTGCAAATTTTTCTGAGAAAGCTGCGCTGTGGTGGTTTTTTTAAGTTTTATCCCACCCACGCATGCATCCACGCATTCACACATTTATTCACATACTTTTTTGAAATTTGTAGTTAAATTTTGTTGGAGATGGCTACTATGATTTTAACAAATTTTTATCATCCTATTCATCCACCCACGCATCCATGCACCCATTTGCATACGCATTTATTGACTTGGTCACACCCAAGAAGTAATTTTTAAAAAATTGTGTACGTATTGTGATTATGTGTGCAATTCGTGTAAATAAACCTTTAATTTGTATGCAATTTTCACGAAATTAGTACCAAAATGTTGCAAATTTTTGCAATCACAAACATGTACACAAATTTATTTAAAATTACTTATTGGTGTGACCAAGTCAATAAATGCGTATGCACATGGGTGCATGGGTGCGTGGGTGGATGAATAGGATGATAAAAATTTGTTAAAATCATAGTAGCCATCCCCAACAAAATTTGAGTACAAATTTCGAAAAAGTCTGTGAATAAATGTTTGAATGCGTGGGTGGATGCATGGGTGGGATAAAACTTAAAAGAACCACACAGCAGCTTTCTAAGAAAAAATTTGCAACATTTTTGTACCAATTTCGTGAAAATTGGTCCATAAATGCGCATGCGTGGGGGTGAATGAATGCGTGGGTGGAGTGTGTAACACTTGAAAAAACCACATCGCCGCCATCTCCAAAAAATTTGCAACATTTTGGTACCAATTTTTACAAAAATCCGTTCATAAATATGCGATTGCGTGGGTGAATGCGTGGGTGGGGGCGTAAACTTAAAAAACCCACACAGCAGCTTTCTCAGAAAAATTTGCAACATTTTGTTTTTTTGTACCAATTTCGTGAAATTGGTCCATAAATGCGCATGCGCGTGGGTGGGTGCGTGGGTGGGTACGTGGGTGGAGGTTGTAACACTTGAAAAAACCGCATCGTCTCCATCTCCAAAAATTTGCGACAATTTGGTACCGATTTAAAAAAAATCGGTTCATAAGTATGCAATTGCGCGGGTGGGTGCGTGGGTGGAGGCGTAAACTTAGAAAAACCCACACAGCAGTTTCCTCAGAAAATTTGCAACATTTTGGTACTAATTTCGTAAAAATTGGTCCATAAATGCGCATGCATGTGGGTAAATGCGTGGGTGGGTGAGTGGGTGGAAGTGTAACACTTGAAAAAACCGCATCGTCGCTATCTCCAAAAATTTTGCAACATTTTGATACCATGTGTTCAGAAATATTGCAAAAAAAATTTTTTTCGCAACAAAACATACCCTCCTGTGAGGAAAAAAAATAAAAATAAAAATTAAAAAAAACCCCACAGCAGCCACCCCCGAAAAATTTGCAACATTTTGTACCAATTTCGAGACAATCGGTCCACAATGCGGAAGTAGTTCGGGTACAGACAGACAGACAGACAGACGGACGGTGCTTATATATATAGATACATATATAAAATTATTTACTTATATAAAATTTTATATTTAACGACGTTGAAAGTCGCTAAAAGAATTTTATTAATTTTATTTGTAGAAATTAAAGTACAATGAGAAAAAATTTACATATTCTTAATTTTAATAGAATGTGCGATAATTAAAATTCATAAAATAAAATTAAATGAGGACGGGTCCCTTATTCACATCTAAATTTTTATAAACAGATTTATATAAATAATAAATAAACTAATTTCTTATCAAATTTATTATTTTTATAAATAAAAGTAAGAAACAGTAGTAAAAAAAACTTTAGAGACTTAAAGAAAATGACACGTCAAATATTCAAACTTCTACATTATATATATATATATATATATATATATATAAAGTATTGTAATTTACAATAAAAAACTTGTAGAGTATAATAAAAAAGATGAAAAAAAATAGTTTTAAACAGATTTTATACTGTTAAAAATTAATTGTTCAAAAACAAATATAAGTTTAAGACCTCTAATCAAGTAATTAGGTGTATACTATCAATTTATAATTGATATTAAATGCAATTTATACGGTTTTTTTAATTAGTAAAGCATATTTTTTATATAATTTGAAAGACAATTTTCTGCAAATTTTTCATTTTACATTAAACATTTAAAATAAACAAAATTAAAATATTTGGCATTACTGGTCGCATTAAAATGTACTGTCTCGCAAAATCAGTATATATATTTTTAAAATATTACACTATTTGATATATATTATTTGTGTCGATTATATATAATATTAATATATATATAAATATATATATATATATATATTGTGTGTGTGTGTGTGTGTATGTATGTATGTACGTATGTATAATAAATTGATATTTATAATACATATAGATATAGAGTTTATTTTTATCTAAAAAGTTTCCATCCTATTTATTTTATCACCAACTAATTGCAAAATTACAAATTTGCAAGAAAAGCAAAAGCAGTCAATTGTGTATATTTAATTTTTTCTATATTTGTTCTATTTTTGTATTTAATTTCTTTTTATTACTTCTACTGTTAACAGAAATTCTTTTAATGCTTCTATTGTTAACAGAAATGCTGCGAAAGTTAAGCAGATGTTTTGAACATACATATGCGCTACTATCTTAAAAGATAAGACACAAAGAACATAATGTGTTGACCATGGAATAATACACTGAATTATATATGACATGTCAATAATATCAAGCTATATTCTTTCGTTTACCTACTTATATATGATATGTTTATCTATCTACTCAAGTTTCTGTTATAAGCAAATATAGAGATCACAAAGCATAGCTAAGATTAAAAGAATATCAAATTAATTTCTCAACAGAAATACATCTGATAAAATTTTTGATAAAAACAGAGAAATCAGAATATGGATATGGATCAATGAAAAATTGAGAAAATATAATAATTTAATTCCCAATATAAATCTTATCGATTTTACGAATTTTTAAAACAGATTAATTATTTTCATACTTAATTATTTTATGAATTATCTAACTGTATTCCAATTGTTTATATTGTATAAAATATTATTACAATATAACATTGTATGTTATGTTACATATTATATTTATGGATTAGAAAATTATAAAAATACAAGTGATTTATCGCTAATATTTATGCAATAATGCTTACAATATTTGGTTTTATTGCATTCATATTAATCATATTGTGTTTATAAATTTTTCATTTATTTTTTTCTTTGTGTGAGAGACAGAAATTTTGTTTCTTTTTTATGTGATTTAATTATGTAAAATTTTTTATATTAAAATTAAAGAGCGTATTACGAAGTTGTCTTATATTAAAATAAAGATCTCAACACACAAATAAAATCAGATAATGGAAATTTTTTTCTGAATTTTCCAGAACAAAAATTCCTTCAAAATTCTTTTAAAAATTTTAAGATAAAATTTAAAGATAAATTTTGAAACTATAATTTTTATAATAATTTATGTATAAATCAAATAAGTTTAATCTTGTAAAAGATAGAGTAAAATAACGAATAACTACAAAACTTAAATAATTTTAAGTGTTGCATCTCTTGATAGTCTATTAAATAGACTCTATTTTATTGTGTGTTAACTTTACCAAAAATTTATCTTTATTTTTAATTAATAATTAATCTAATTATTAACTCATTTTGATGATATTATAGAGGAAGAGCCGTTGGAAAATAACAGGACGAGTCAATCGATTGCATCACGAGAGAATTCTGTAGTCTCCAACGCGAGAGTCGCCGTACCCTTATCATCAACTGGGTCGAACCCGGTTCAGCTGACTGCACTTCATTCCACCTCTCATCATCATCACCATCACCACCACCACCACCATCATCATCATTCGCAGCAGTTGCAGCAGCAACAACAGCAACAGCAACAACAACAGCAGCAACAGCAACATCAGCAACAGCAGCACAATCACAGCGACCATCACAACACACACAACCATTATGTGGAGAATCATAATCCGAATCAATCGCAGCAGAGTGTTGGCAACCTTGTTGTGGACGTCGAAACGAACCACGATAATAAAAACATCGAACTGGGTAAGACTGCTTTAATTTCCTCTCTATTGTTTTTTTTTCATCTTTATTTCTCTCTTCGCGTCACAGAGTTCTATGACAATGTGTAAGATTTGGAACACAGCAAATTGTTTTTTAACAAAATAATTTTGATTATACGATGCTGTAAAATCAAATTAAGGGTTTATTTATCTGTTTTGTTGCTACATTATCTTGATTTGGTTATATCTATCTTTTTTTTCTTTACGTTCGAATTTATTCAAGATATGGGGTAATAATGGACACACATTTACATAAACACCAACACACATTCCATTATAAATCGATATGTTAGCCTGTTGCTTCGTATTCTCGCTTCATCTCCCTGCCGTCCTCGACGCAACACAGGCTGTTATACCTATTTATGTTGTGCACGTGTGCAAGGTGAATGGCATGTGTACTATGTCACTTATATCGCGGGATGATATCGTATGGTGGTCAGGATTGTTCCATGATTACATCACAGTGAAAAGTAATTGCAAAGATTAAAATAAATATTGTAATAAAAACACACTACATAGCTTTCTAGCAAATTTTTGTAAAATAAATTATTTCTCTCAAAATTATATATATTTATTATTATATGTGCAACTTTGGAAGAAAGATTATCGCCACACACTACACACTTTTACTCCAAAATGCAGTTACAATATACAGGATATCTTGTAATAATCGCGCCACCTCTCGTGTGTAGATAGAGCGAGTTAAACAGAATAGAAAAGTCCTTTATCATTTTGCGATCCAAGCAATAATTAATGAGAAATTAATTGTGAAAGATCGGCCAATCCGAAGCGTAGTGGGAGGAGTATTCTACAAATCGGCCAATGAGCGCGTAATGTCTCGCGCGCTGATTGGCCGATCTTTTTCAATTAATTTCTTATTAATTATTGCTTAGATCGCAAAATGATAAAGGACTTTCCTACTCGGTTTAACTCGTTCTACCTACACACGAAACGTCAAAAATTAAAGAAATAATTTTTTAATTACTCATTCTATATAACTATAGTTTTTTAAATCTTCTTGCGTAGACCTTGCGTTATCCGATCTGGTACGAGAGAAGTACACAATAAATTGGAGAAGAATCGTAGGGCACATCTCAAAGAGTGTTTTGAGCTTTTGAAGAAGCAACTCCCTTCGCAAGATGAGAAGAAATCTTCAAATCTCTCTATTCTACATGCAGCAATCAAATATATACGAGTATGTTAGTGAATGAATTGTACAGCATTAGTTTAAAAAATATATAGGGGAAGACTGGTATATAAGCAGCAGCATTTGAGATAGAAAGATATATTTTTTCTGTCATTTCACAGGCGTTGACAAAGAAAGACCAAGATTATGAGCACGAAATGGAGAGACTTGCAAGAGAAAAAATCGCGCTTCAACAAAAGTTAATGGCACTTAAGAAAGAAAACAATGCGTCTTGGGATCATATTGACATTAATTCTCTTCTGCTGGAACAAAACTCTGGACCGGACATGACACTAACCGCCAAAAATGGTAAGATATATTTGTATTAAAAATAAGAAACATGCCGGAATTTAACAAAGTATATTTTCTTGCGAATTATCAGTTTTACCTATATATTTTCTTCTATATCAATTTTATTCATTTCGTTCAATAATATTCTTGGTGTTGAAAAAGTATTGATAATAAAAAATCTACAGAAATGTTATCTTCAGAAATTATTTACGCGATTTTACTTTTCCTATTTTTATTAGATTAAAATTTTTTTTCTTCTTAAATAGAAAAACTAAAATATAAAATAATTAAAAAAATATAATTATAAATATTTTTCCTTAAAGCAATATTTGAAATGCTCTTATAAATTTTAGAAAATATAGAAGTTAATGTCATCGGACTCTCACGAAGTGGTACGAGATACAGTAGCACAAGCAGCTTGAACAGCGTGACAACAGCCAGTTCGCCGCAAGCATTGCAATCCACTAGCAACACAACTTCCAATATTCACAATCAAGCTGTAAATACTGGTGTCGTTTGTCAAACGCAAGAACTCGCGCGCAGTTCCAGAGAAAGTCCGCCCGCGAATTTGGTGTCTGCCGCAGCAACACCTGCAGCTAGCATTTCTACTCCGCAGGTATATTATTAATCTTTGGATTTTCTAATTACGAACGATGACAAAAAGGATTTCGGCACCATATCCAAGGTCGGATCGTAAATATTGCGATTTGAAAATTATTCGGTGCTAGAATAAATCACGCATTTGCAGAGCCGCTTGATAGACTCCTGCTAAAAGCGGCTTTGAAAATTCGTAACACGATTTTTCTTGATAATATTAAGTCTATTCTTTTCAGTTGAACTGTTCAGGGTTTATATCTTTCCTTCTAATAGGCAGTCAAAAAGATCAAGAAAACTCTGAAGTAGTTTAGCTAAAAGGCGCAGACTTATTATTGTGCCCTTTTCTCAAAACATTTAAGATTGACATTTTCAAGCAGTGTTTGCTGTTATCTAAATAAAATTATATAGATGATTCTAGATGAATCTAGATGAAACCTTGGCGCCATCTTATCTTTATATAGATAATAAAAATATGTATTATCTATATCTGCATCTTAAATGAAAAATGTATATACATTTACTCTCTAAATTATCTAGAATAATTTTCAGATAATTTTAGTTTAAAATCATTCTAGATGAATCTAGATGAAACCTTGGCGCCATCTTATCTTTATATAGATAATAAAAATATGTATTATCTATATCTGCATCTTAAATGAAAAATGTATATACATTTACTCTCTAAATTATCTAGAATAATTTTCAGATAATTTTAGTTTAAAATCATAGCACATAAAAATACTTGAATAGTAGAACTTAAGCAGTAAGCGATAAAAATTTATAAATAAAAATATGAATACATATATTATTATATCTATTTTATAATTTACATTTTTTTATTACTGTATTTACATCGCAAGCAATCTTAAAAATAATATCTGAAAATTATCTAGATGCATTGCCATATAATTTTATATCTTTTATCTAGATATATTTAAAACAAAATCATCCTCATCTTATCTAAGACGAATTTACATATTTTTATCTCATCTTTATCTACCTAATTTTAAAATTCTCTAAGCACAACACTAGTAAAAATTCAGATATCATAAAAAAATAAGGACTACGAAATTAAACATAAGAAAGTATAAAGAATTAAGCCCAGACTAATTAAAGATTGGAAATGTATCACTAATCAGAAGAAAAAGAGTTAAAAATTTCTTCATCTCAATCATATTTTAATCTGCAATATATGTTTGATGCATAAATCTGATATGGGTTTAATTTTTACCAATTCCTTACAACAAAATCATCTTTATCTTATCTAAAATGACTTAACATATTTATCTAGCTAATTTTAAAATCATCTGCACTATCTTCAAAGCTAAAAGAGGACACTCTGTTTTCAGGAAAAAGTCGCCACGTCGTCCACAGCTAGCATAGTGCAGCAATCGCATCAATTACACCTACCGATTAGCGCTCAAATGTTGAATACGAGTCAGGGTCTGGCGACGATTGTGCCGACTTTGCAGCACATCGGTCCGGGGCTTAGGGTGGTCCCGGGTGATACACGGCAGCTCTTGGTCACGCATGCTCCGGGCAATAACGAGTCCAGGTCGCTCACACTAGCTGTCCAAAACTCCTCGGATCAGTCCAGGCCGCCGCTGATCGCTGTGCAATCCAACGCCGGAAATGAGCCAAGGCCCGTGGCTCTGGTCGTTCACTCGTCCACCGCCAATGACAATAGAGTGACGTTTGTGCACTCCAATTTGTCCAACAACGACAGGCCGTTGGCCCTGGCCATGCAATCGTCCGCAAGCGATGTTAGACCCGTCACCTTCGTACATTCGGGTAACGAAGGCCGGCCGCTGGTTCTCGCCACGCATTCCCCAGCATTGAACGTGTCGAGTGAGTTATTGTAGAAATACGAATTTTTTTTTTAATTATTTTCCAAGACGTATACTTAATCTTATAAATAAATTCCATGATTTGGCTAGGTACTTTTGTTCAAAATTTCAAGTAAATTAAGTTTTTAAACATTTAAAATATTTTTAATGTAATAATACAATACATTATTTTATAATGAAATATATTTTAATATATTATACTTTATATAAACTTAATAAATTTTATATTTTTCGCTTCTTTTTATCATTTTGTAATATTGTTAGTGAAGTAATTTTAACGTATAAGACGGGCAACAAGAGCCAAATCGCGGATGACAATGCTTTATCCTAACGAAACTAAATAATTTTCCGTTAGAATTAAATACCGGTGCACAAGGCACCAAATTTTACTTGGACACGGCCAAGATTTTTAAAATATGAAATAATCTCATATTTGAGATTTAATTTCAATACCCCTTTAACCCCCTACGGAAAATAAATAAATGAATGCAAGAGAAAAATATAGATCCGAAAATCGCTGAATCGGGAATCGAACCCGAGACCTTTCGCTTGCCGGGCGACTGCTCTTCCAGCTGAGCTATTCAGATCCTTTCGATTCTATACTTTTCTCTGTTATATATATTAATGTTGGTAAACAAACGCATTTTTAAGCCAGCGTGTATCAATATAAGAGTTTTAACAAGGCTCTGTAATATAAATATAAATTTAACGTATAAGACGGGCAACAAGAGCCAAATCGCGGATGACAATGCTTTATCCTAACGAAACTAAATAATTTTCCGTTAGAATTAAATACCGGTGCACAAGGCACCAAATTTTACTTGGACACGGCCAAGATTTTTTTTAAAATATGAGATTATTTCATATTTTTAAAAAAATCTTGGCCGTGTCCAAGTAAAATTTGGTGCCTTGTGCACCGGTATTAATTCTAACGGAAAATTATTTAGTTTCGTTACAATATATTATTGAAATTAAATCTCAAATATGAGATTATTTCATATTTTAAAAAAAATCTTGGCCGTGTCCAAGTAAAATTTGGTGCCTTGTGCACCGGTATTTAATTCTAACGGAAAATTATTTAGTTTCGTTAGGATAAAGCATTGTCATCCGCGATTTGGCTCTTGTTGCCCGTCTTATACGTTAAATTTATATTTATATTACAGAGCCTTGTTAAAACTCTTATATTGATACACGCTGGCTTAAAAATGCGTTTGTTTACCAACATTAATATATATAACAGAGAAAAGTATAGAATCGAAAGGATCTGAATAGCTCAGCTGGAAGAGCAGTCGCCCGGCAAGCGAAAGGTCTCGGGTTCGATTCCCGATTCAGCGATTTTCGGATCTATATTTTCTCTTGCATTCATTTATTTATTTTCCGTAGGGGGTTAAAGGGGTATTGAAATTAAATCTCAAATATGAGATTATTTCATATTTTAAAAATCTTGGCCGTGTCCAAGTAAAATTTGGTGCCTTGTGCACCGGTATTTAATTCTAACGGAAAATTATTTAGTTTCGTTAGGATAAAGCATTGTCATCCGCGATTTGGCTCTTGTTGCCCGTCTTATACGTTAAATTTATATTTATATTACAGAGCCTTGTTTAAAACTCTTATATTGAAGTAATTTTGTTTTTTATTGTATTAATCTCTATCTATGTATATATATATATATATATATATATAGATCACTTGATAAAGACTCAAAGAAGGGTCGAAATGTTGTAATTGAATAAATAATATTTGCCAGTACGGTCGAGAGAAGATTCTTACTTTTTTTAAATTCTGTCTGGGTCTATTTCAAATATCTACGGTTTTCTTTTATATATATATATTTTTTTATATATAAATCTTTCTCACGTTATTAGGCTTTGTAACACAGACGGAAGTAACACAGACAAGTGCTCTCGCTTCCTCTCTCTCTCTCTGGATTCTCTTTTGGATTTCTAAAATAATATTTTCACATACAGATACTCAAACGAGAATAAGAACGGGAGATGCACATACTACACATAAAATGGTTAGCGGGGTGGCATTAGTTGGAGGCAATGGCTCCGAATTAGCAAGAGCACTTCCCGGTGGCGCGGAACTGAATATACTTCCAGCAAATGGTATGTAAACCTAGGCACAAGCAATGCGAGCTAGCTAAGCTTCCTTTAAAGAAGTATTTGTAGTACAATACAGGAAGAAAGAGGACACTTGATGATGATCGGTGTTTGTTCAGTGTTTGCTGTTGCATCTAAATAAAATTATATAGATGATCATCTAGATGAAATTTTGGCGTCATCTTATCTTTATATAGATAATAAAAATATGTATACAAAACGATTTTCTTTACTAAATTGCCTAGAATAATGTTCAGATTCAATTTAATTTATAGCACATAAAAATACTTAAGTAGTAGAACTTAAGCAGTAAATAAAAGTATAAATATTATTATACATATACTTTTTATAATTTACATTTTTTTTATAATTGTGTTTACATAAGCAATCTTAAAAATAATATTATTTGGAAGTTTTCTAAATAAATTTGTCATAATTTTACCTAGATATATTTAAAACAAAATCATCTTCATCTTATTAGATAAATTACATATTTTCATCTCATCTTTATCTAGCTAATTTTAAAATCATCTAAGCACAACACTGATGTCATCAGATTTGTCAAAATTTACACAAATTGAGTTTTAATTGTCAATCTCAAATTGAGGAAAAAGGCAATCATTATTTTTTTTTAATATTATTTAAGCTGAATCAAAACTTCACAAACAAGTTAAATTTATTTAATTCCAATATACGTAGCCTCGAACACTATTTTCTTTTAATTAAACCAAAATCATACTGAAACTCTATTAGATTTTTTACAGTGAAACTAATGGAAATAAATCAATTAAATTATTTTTTAAAAATTAATGAAAAAATTTTATGGAAAAATTATATGAAATAAACGGTAATATAAAAAATATATATTTTATTTATAATGTAATTATTTTCCAAGAAATATAAGTAGAAAAACTATTAAATAAAAATATGAATATATTTTATATCCCTTTTATAATTTACATTTTTTTTTACTGTGTTTACATAAGCGGTCTTAAAAAATAATATCATCTGGAAGTTGATGAATCGTCATATAATTTTTATAATCTAGACATATGTATTTAAAACAAAATCATCTTTATCTAGCTAATTAAAAATCATCCAAGTACAACACTGCATTTTCGTTGCAGGATTAACTTTGAGCCACGCAGGAGTGTCGCTTCAGACGAGCGCGGGCAAATCGGGCTCGACGATGATGCAGAACGCCGCGTCCACGGAGAGTATAGCCCACATCGTCGGCCAGCACGCGCCACTCTCCGGCTTAACTCCGATCGTCACGCCGATGACAGTCGTCTCTCAGGGTAATCAGGTGACAGCACACATCCTGGCGCCGTCCAGTCTGGCGGGGAAGATGATTACCACGCCGATCCTTAAGTCCGTGGGACAGATGCCGCTTGTGAATGCTCAGTACCTTAACACCACGACCCTGGTGAAGCCCGTCGTCGTGGTGAGCTCGTCGACGTCGACGCTGCCGTCGACGACGGCTTCCAGTACGCAGCCTCCGTCGACCTCGAACTCGACTGTCTGACAATATCAAGGAAAAGCAAAGTTCACCTGATTGATGTGTTGGAATGTCAAGATACGGATTGTCGAAAAATGTTTTATAGTAATCGGAGTCCTTACGTTCTAAACCTGATGTTATATATCTTTTATTATTCATTGGGATTAACGAAAGAAAATTAGCGAGCAAAAGTTAAAACTATGAGCCATATGTGAGAGTTAGGCAATCTTTTACCATTAATGAAATTTACGCGAGAAAAGCCTTGGTTTATTGACCTATCTATTCCTGATATTGAAGTAGCCTCGCATTTGTGAAACCTTATGTCCCAGAAGAATTGGATTCGATGAATTTTTGAGCTTTTCCGCGAAGAAAAAATTGACTGCGAAAAAAACCTTGCTCAACTCATGCAATGTATGTGTATTGTATACAGTACCTTAGTTTCGTTAGGGAAAAATTAGATTATTACATATAATGAAGTTCAAAGGGGCTAATTTATGGCCATAGTCCAAGTGTCCAGAATATAAGAAAGCTTATTACAACATGTTGATAAATTAATGCTTTTTAAGGCTCCTGGTCTCTATATTGATTTATAATATACACATATATTAAATTATATATTTATTATATTGTAGGGAAAAGAACTAAGGAAAAATTTTTGATATATTTTCGATATAGATCTATATATTATTGAACACACAAGTGGTGATGTGCAAAAAGACTAATTTATTTGGATGTACAAAAAAAGAGGATTGCATGATTTCTTGCTTTTAATATCAGCAATATCTGACATTACAGTTGCAGGACCTGGAAGCTGCAATTTGATCAATGTACGATAAGAGAGAGAGTAGTGTTAATACAGTTGGCTTAAGATCTTTGTTATTCACTGTCTATCGGAGCTGAATCACTGAATCTTCAATTGCTTTCTAGAAAAATATTGCAAGAGTTAGAACCGAGGTGTCAGAGAGTTATAGTGGCGTGATAATTAGCAAAACACATTTCAAATGTTGATGTAAATAGTGTGTTTGTACATTGACGAATAGTAGATCGATATGATACATTAGACAAAATCTAGACTATAATTTGAAATGTGTTTATTACATGGATTATTATTTATTTAAGTCATTATACACACATACACAAATAAATATATATATATATATATATATATGTATATATATATATATATATATATATATATAAAGTAATAACAGTGCAGTTGAATGTATGTATGTATGTATATATGTATGTATGTATGTATGTATGTGCGACGGTTATACTATCTTAAAGCTTCTGGATTCTCAGCCATGTTAGATTGTAAGGCGAGAAAGCACACGTTGAAGATTCTTGCATGCCATTCTTAAGAAAAGATATTTTGATGAAACACTATTTCAGATGGCTTCAGCATTTTTTAAATATAAAGGAAGAGGGATAATTTTCAAGAAATGTGCTAAAACCATCTGGAGTGCTGTTTCATGCTTAGCTTTTCATATCTCTCTATTTCGAAATGGCATTTCAGAATTTTTAGCGTGCTTTGTCGCCTCCGACATCATAATTCCAACATGGTCGGCGAGGAACCAGATGCCTTAATTGACGAACCATTTCCTTATAATATGTTACTTGTGTGAATATTTTTTTATCATATTCTCGATTGAAAATTCTTTCACTATGCTTACTTTGATAATTGACTTTCTTTTTCTAAGCAACTTGTGTTATATTTTGAAAGACTAAATACTTTTCTAAATATTTTTTAATAGACACCGTGGAAAAGAAATTAAAAAAAATTTGATTTATAATAATAAATTTTACTTTCCATTTAATTTTTAAAAGTACTTATTTTATGAAACCTATAAATTGATGAGTTTTATCGTACCTTATTAAAATTGGAAAAAATATATTGCAAAGAATGATAATGATGATAATGATGACTTTCAAAGTATAGTAAGACAAGTATCGTGAGAATAATATTAAGATTAAAATCTCTTGTAAAATGTTATGAGATGATAGAAACAAGTTTGATTAACTATCTATTGATTAACTGTCTATTGATCGACAAATTGTGAAAAGACGAAGATTACGAGCAGTTTTGTGTTTTTAAATTTAGCATATAATGGCTGTGGAGAACGGATATTGCACTCCATATGGAGGTGTCTGTTTAGTTTCGACAATTCAGTCGCAAGATAGAATTCTCGTTACACTGATAGAAGAGTGAAAAATTATGTAAAGACAAATGGCAGAAAAAATAATTTAAGTTTGTAATAATACACTTAAGTATTTATTCCTCTGTATTTATTACACACACACATACACACATCCACACACACACACACATACATATTATACATATAGAACAAATCACTATTTTGCGATTTTCACAAGCGCATAATTATATAATTATAACTTATTGAAAATCATCATGTTGATTTCATTATAAAGAAAGATTTTCAAATGTTTATTTCAAATTGCCGTCATCATTGTAATCTACTTTTATTATGAATAGATGTGCATAATGTTTCATCCTTTTGTAACTCGAGCATTTGTTTGCATGTTACAAAATTATACAGTGAATAATTTGAAATGACTCGAAAATAGAATAAAAAAGAAACGCATGATAATATAATAATATCTCTGATGAAAATAGGAATAATTGCATCCACTCATTCACCTGTTGCACTTTTCTTCTGTTCTATAAGTATGTAAAATCTTTGTATATTCTTGTAAAATTATGTATTTTACGCTTTCGATTATTTTTCCGAATGCGAGATCGTTAATTATCAAATAAATAACTCGGTTGAGCAATATACTAATTATATATATATATATATATATATATATATATATATATATATATATTATATATATATAATATATATATATAATATATATATGTAATTATATATAAATAATATAATTTAATTATATGTATAATTATTAATTATATTATTAATTATATGTATATGTTAAACCATTTTATAATATACTCTCGGTATTCTAAGTGCATAGTGCTTACAATGAAGTACTTTTTAATTGAACACGTGAGATGCAATAAAAAATGTTTTCTTTTGCATGCGCGACTAATGATAATCTCTATTCGGATGTCTCAACTTTTATGTTGCATGCGTTTTAACATTACTATATCTGCATATGAAGGTGAAAGGAGACCAAATTATTTAATTGTATGACACACGATTATACAGTGGTTTAATTTAAAATATAAATCATATCTTACTTGGCTGCGCTATGAAATCGCATCTGTATCGTATAGTCTTGTTAAATTGTTGTATAAATATGTTAAATTACTATATTTTTAACACACATCACTATCTTATGTAGATCAATATTTCGCTGACAGAAAAATCAGCGTAATAAAAGTCTATTAAGCTGTAGCTTGCACAATTTTTATACAGGTTTTCGTCTTTAAATCTTAGATCACTCGATATTTATACTTTAATAATAATTTTTTTTTTTAATTTCATGATTTTTTATAATTTCGATAAATGAAGGGAGAAAAATGCAAAGTGTAACATTAATCATGTAATAAATTATGTAATTTATTACAATTTTTTACAATCAGAATTTGGAAATACAGGAAAGTTCAAGTTGCAATAAAGAGGAAAAAATTGTTTTTAAATACGTATATGATTCAAGACATATTGTGATGAAATTTCAATTAAATTATCTGGCCCGAATTCTCTTCTCACTTTTACTCGACTTCAAGTCGTGCAATAAATACAAAAATGGCCGTACTGTATATTCCGTGGCACATAGAGCAAGAAACAAAAAGTTGTATAAGAGATGACTAGAAATGTAAAAAAAATATACATATATATAATTGAGCGGAAAATAATATTTTACATCTGCTGTTTGAATGCGACTGAAAAATCACTCGTCGGAAAAACTATAATAAGCGATGTAATAGCCTCATGTAAATAATTTCGTGGGCGAAAAAAGATCGCCGAACGGACCGAAATGTTGTTCGCAACAGGAGACTAAAAAAAAGTAAATAAGCGATATACATATATGAATATAATCTGTACATGTGTGTATGCGTGAGCGCGTGTATGTGTGTGAACAATGTGATATAAATAAATAAATAAAAGATTAATTAGCGTAGTAAGTATAAAAAGCGTTTTAAATATAAAAAGAAAGCATCAGCTGTTAAATCTCGTTGTAGGGCGTAAAAATAGAGTGCTGGTAATTATTATCATTTACTAGTATTCTATATGTCAACACATATATATATATATATATAAATACGAGAGGGAAAGCGAGAGAAAGAAAGAGAGAGTGTGTGTGTGTATGTGTGTGTGTAAGATATAATAAATATGCGCGGAAAAAGAGAAAAAGAGATAAAGAGAGAAGCTAAATGATGGATAATATAGTGTGATGAATTGTGCCCGATTCTCATGCCGAATAATAATTAAAAAAAACGCCGGCGTTGTGTATATCATATACATATATATCATATATATATATATATATATATATATATATATATGATAAAAATCTGCAAAAGATTGTAATTGAATGAATAACAATTAAGCAGAATAAGTATGTGTAAAAAAATTAGTTATTGTTGTAGTCTATGTCGAATTTTGTTATACGCCTCGGCTGCAAACGATGGTACGTCCTTCTTCGACACACACTTCGATTTTCTTAATGCGTAAAAAGAGAGTAAAGTAAGTAATTAAAAAAGGGGGGAGAAAGGAAAGAGAGAAGATTACAGGAAGATAAAGAGAGAGAAAAATGGACAGCAAGCGTCACCAAAGAGACTCGCGTTCTCTTGGCGCGCAAAATACATTTTGTTAAGAAAAAGTATAATATATATATATATATATATATATATATATATATATATATTTATAAATAAAATCTATTACAATAACATAAATGAAAATTTAAAGGGGTGAGTGTGACGGGGTTGCCTAATGCTCCTTTAATTAATTAATTAATTGTCTACGCTGGCTCGGGACTCTGCTCGATGTTGACAACCGTACAGTGTCATAATTAGCCGTCTGTGCCCCTGTAAGCTTCAGGGGGGCTCAGTCAAGACGACAAAGTACAGTTTGAAGAGAGAAAAAATTTTTTTATTTATGGAAAAAATTTATTTGCCGCAAATAAACTCGCTCCTTTTATTTCAAAAGTTAAATCTTTTTATTATAAATTGGGGGGTTCAAGTCAAGACGATAAAATAAAGATTAAAGAAAAGGACATTTTTAAATTTGTAAATAAAAATATATTTATTTGCAGCAAATAAACGCCCCTTTTAGTTAAAAAGTTCCATTTTTTTAGCTTATAAGTATTTGGGAGGAAGGGGGGCTCAAGTCAAGACGATAAATAAAGTTTAAAGAAAAGGACATTTTTTAAATTTGTAAATAAAAATATATTTATTTGCAGCAAATAAACTTGCTCCTTTTAGTTCAAAAATTCCATTTTTTTAGCTTATAATATATTTGAGGAAGGGGGCGCAGTCAAGACGATAAAATCAAGTTTGGAGAAAAGGAAATTTTGTAAATTTGTAAATAAAAATATATTTATTTGCAGCAAATAAACTTGCTCTTTCTAGTTCAAAAATTCAATTTTTTTAATTTATTATAAATA